AGCGGTTCCTCTGTACCCTTCATCTCTCGACTGACCAATTGAGCGGTACCACCTCCGGACGATCGCGAAGCACCCCGAAGACGTCCCAATCCCAGGAAGTATTCGTTGCGTCGATTAACCGTGTGTCCGTTGCTGTATGGCTTCCTCTGATTTCTCGGGCCTAACACCTGGGTGGACAGTCTCTCCCATTCGACACGATCTGGATCCCGCGAATTGATCCAATCGCATTCATCGACCTCGAAGGTACAATCCCGTGGTATCGGGCCGGCCACTTGCGGCGAAACTTTTGAGCCAACATAGAGTATTGGAAGAAAATTTGCAGAGACATGAGAATTTAATTTTCGACCATCAAACGACAAATTTTAAACAATCTGTTCAAGAACATACCAGGGCAAGCACCTAATCCATACGAGATATCATCGATGGCGATATCCCCCATGCCGGTATTCCCTACCGATGCTTCGAAAATTAGCTGAAAATCGTCGAGGGAACTGATCGTGACTTGCGACATGAACCAAGCGTTGCCGGCATTTCCGGACAGACTCCATATCTCCTGACTATCTGAACTGCGAAAGTGACGTAAAAAGAGCTTCAGGTAGCCTATCCCGGATCCAAACATGTGAAACCAGAAGTGCATACACATTGGCATGTCAGCGCTGGTTGCTGGAAAGCTTGAGCTTATCAATTTCGCCGTGTCACCGGGTCTTCGCGGAAAGCTGGAGTCGATGAAAGCGTAACCACCGGCTGTGGCACGATCACTGGAACTGTCCATTGCTGGCCCGGTCGTGGGATTTCCGCTTCCGCGACTCTGAAAATGTGTTTTCTCGAGGTATCCATTGCAGATAACTTGTAGTAAAGAACAAGAAAGATACAATCTTTGGGGGGAATTTTATATATATCCAATCAAAATCGTCTTCCGCATCGTTGTTCCAGTCGCAGAAACCACCGGCAAAGTTGCAGAATCCAATACATGATGTACCAGGTTGCAAATCTATGTCATCGATGGCAATATACCCACGATAGAGACGCGACGGGTCTGTGGAATCCACCGGAACGCCTTCAATAATCACCTAATGGCCAAGATTTTGCCTGAGATTTATAGCGATATTTATAATAATAAACTATAACACAAATAGACATAAGAAGAATTACATTTTGGAAAAGGGTAACAATTTGTCGAATTTATATAATTCTGGATTTGACGCTGCCATATATAATTCTGACAAACAAATACAACAAAAATATATGTAATATAGTTTTGAATGAATTTGGGTACTTCTATAATTATTTGTATTAACTTGTTCGTCAAACTATCACATTTCGGATGTTGAATCCTATATTATTCACAAATAGATAGAAAAGCTATAAAAATAGCTTTTTAAAAGCACAAACTTATTGCTGTCAATTAAATCCTGTCATGTAATTGTGATTTTAATCTGTATTAATCAATAGCATTTCTTTATATTTACTATTTAAATGTCTGATTGAGTTATAATAATGTACCGAATGTAACTCAGGATAAGTGTACAGTATTTGAGCCTGCTGCCATACTCCGAGCGTGTAATACTGCGCATGCCACAGTACACGCTCCTCCACGACTTCTACTGGTTCGCAGGGTTTTGCCGTTGTGGTATTTTCTATAGGCAATTCCTCGGTTTCTTCCTTCTTAAAAGAGAAATCGTCCACACCGACATGAAGCAATACTCGCAGTCCTGCGATACTGAGACCGTCCATGGTATATTTGAACATGAAACAGGTACCAGCGACTCCAGTGCTACCTAACTGTGGACTATGCAGAAGACCTCCTGCGCTTTTGAACTTCAGATCCTTTGAAGATACTTGCGATGTCTCCAGAAAGGCGTATCTAATACATTAATTCATGCTCAAGATTATTCATTGAAATATTAAATGGGAAATGTAGATGCAAGAGAATTATTACATCTTTCGCTATGTAAAAGGAAGAGTGTGCGATGGTATGTGAATAAAAAATATTTATCTCTATTTATCTCTACAATTTGATAATATTGAGAAGAATTAATTTTTTTTTACTATTATATTTCTCAAGAGAATAGCATTTTTTCAATAATATTTCATAATAATAATAATAATAATATAATAATATGTAATAATATATTACCCTCCGTCCATAGTGCTGCTGGTGGCGTCGATCGATGGTCCACCCAACCAGTTTGTTCCCATTCCGGTACCTGGAGTCCATTCCAAAGCGCCATTACCATTTTGCCACTCGCAAAGTGGCATTGACGGAATCGGTCCGAAATCGCAGAAGACTTCATCAACAGTGACCGTCGGAGGTGGTACGGTAACTGTAGGATATCTTACAAACGCACACACAAAATTACAGGTATGTACAAAATTATTTTATATAATTTTACATAATTAATATTACAATATAATACATTGTAAAAACTAAACTGTTTAAAACTGTTTGTAAAAACTAGAGTGATTTTGTATTCCTGAAGCATAATTAATGAGAAATCACTTTTTTTCTACCATTTATTTACTCAACGATTGTCAGCGCCAGAATATAACTAAAATAAATATCTTATTGCTTAGGTCTTAGGTTTTTCTTTATGATGTTTAAAAACCTTTGCGTGGAAGGATGTCTCTGTGCTAGCGTAGTAGGCTGCGGAGATCTGGGCGATAAAGATGTTTCCGTGGTAAAAGGCTCTGTGCTGCGAGTAGGTAGGATATCCGGTCTGCCTGGCCATTGCCTAGGTTCGATGCGCTCCACTTCGTCCAGTGGTTCGCGATCGACGGAATTGATGACGGGAGGCTGGCCCGGATTGATGCCGGATTCTGAACCGTTGACCGCATCATTGAAATCTTCATTGTTCGCGGTATTTCTCGTCCAACCGGAAGTCGCGTTAACTGCGCCCACGAGATCGACTTGTTCTCCGAGCATAGCATTTAAGGCAATCGGAGGATACCAAGTTATGCTCCACGATAACGGATACGGCCAACAGCTCAGTAATAAAATCCACCACATGTCCGGATACAATTGCACTGTTCGAAAATTCACTCTGTCTATAAAATGAATTAGAATTAGAATCGTCGAGGATTCAAATTTGTAAAATTTTTTCTTCACAATCTGAAAATTCGATTTTAAAATATAGGAGAAATTAGAGATTCCACAGTTTAAAATCTAGCTTACATTTTGTGTGAAAACTCAAAAATAATTATTTTTATATGTTTTTATACTTTTTCTCTTTTTTTATTATTTTAATTATGATTTAATTATCATCATAGATTGAATATTTAATTTTACAAAGTGAATTTCTCTCGCGATTGCTCGTTTAATTCACCTATTTTTCGCAGGATTTGTACTTGGATGCATCCGTCATGTATCATTCGTTATTCGATCACACATCAGGATCTTCGAAAATCATTAATGATGATTTTGACATGGAGCAGAATCGTCTAGCAGAATCTTTTTCCCTAAAGTATACAAAGGAACTATTTCACACGTGAAATACGATAGTGCTCTAACGTCGATACCGGAATAAATGGTAAAGATGTCAACTATAAATTGATGGATTAAACGCGATTAAAAGATAAAGCCATAATTCACAAGCTCTACTCTAATTGTAAATACGAAAAAAATGGATCTTACTTATGGTTTTTTAACTTATTTTGCATTAAATTCTTCGAGAACTCCTTTTTTAATTTTACTGTCGCGAGCAAATGTTCGGATGGCACTGACAACAGACCGGCAGAATGATATCTATACAGACGAGATGCGAACTGTAGAGTTTTTCAGGACCGCGGCACGAAACGAAGCGGTGTGTATCCACGCAGTTCCGGCCTTAACTTCCGATCGTTACGCTTTCAATTTCCAGTATGTTCGGGGCCCGTTCGTCGCGATAGCCAACAATGAAATTCCATCGAGGCAGAGTGCCGTAATAACATCGAGATTAAAATCTGACCGTTTCCACTAGCGGTAAATTGGTTCCGCATATCGCTTTCGAAAAACGATGGTTTTTCAATCATTAGACATAATATATGTTCAATCGTTCATAGTTTAATTTCCTATAGAGGATTATGATTAATGCAGAGCATCATTACTCAAAAAATAACAGAAAGTTTGCGCGCCACGCATACGTGTTATACTATATATTATAAAATATGAAAAAACGTTATTCTTAATTCAGAGAGAATCGCATATTACATATATAAAGTCAGTAAAAACATTAAAAGTATAAAAAATCGCAATAACATGTCATTTAATTGAAATACGAGGGCTTCTTCATTACATTCCCATAACTCACAAATTACTTTTTTTTTTTTTTTTTTTTTTTTTTTTTTTTTTTTTTTTTTTTTCTGGTATTTTTTTTTTTTTTTTTTTTTTTTTTTTTTTTTTTTTTTTTTTTTTTTTTTTTTTTTTTTTTTTTTTTTTTTTTTTTTTTTTTTTTTTTTTTTTTTTTTTTTTTTTTTTTTTTTTTTTTTTTTTTTTTTTTTTTTTTTTTTTTTTTTTTTTTTTTTTTTTTTTTTTTTTTTTTTTTTTTTTTTTTGTATATATATCGCAGTGTACATAATATAAAGAAACAAAAATATAAACATATTATTAATAACATAAGAAAGATAATTTTATATGTATAAAAAAATAGATGAAAACATTTTTGAGCTGTATAGGATATAATTGACACGCGATAAGAAGCACTTTTACAAAAACTCAATCAATATTCTAGTCATTTAACGTGCAATTTTAGATAGAATAAATTTCTGTGAATGTAGTGATATCATTTTTCGTTCAATTTTTCCTCAAGAATGCATATATCAAAATGTCATTTTTTGATGATATGCGGTGAATTCAGGAATTTTAAGAAGATGTGCGATCCAAAGCTTTCGGGTTCTCGTTCAGTGAGATTAATACTACGCCCGAGGTTTAGGTATACTCGAACGATGTAAGGGGCAAGAAAAGGGCAAAGTACGAGCTGATCAGTGCGGGGTCGGCACGAACTTTGTTTCCTCAACATTTTCGATATTAGATTAATGACGGATGCTGATGTCTGTTGTGGTACAGGCCGCGGTGGACTGTTGAACACTAATTTCGTAATCTCCTCTAGACTCTGAAATAGTAATCGAGAGAATACTTTTACTCTCGCAGGGATAAAGGATATTATACATTGTAATGTGTAACGTAAAAATATAAATATTCTGTGATATAAAAGTGTTCTTCCCGTTTTTTTCTTTTCAGAAGAAATACTATCTTTTTGATAAAAAATGGATGTAAAAAGTAAAAATACTCTATGCACAATATTGCACAATGTTACTTTGACTACTTCGTCTCGTGATTAATTAATTTAATTTACCGTAGCTGGAAATGGAAGTTTCTTTGTAATCATTTCGTATAATATAACACCCAGGCTCCATATATCACACTTAAGCTCGTACGAGTGTACAGTGAACATTTCTGGAGCCATATAATAGTAAGATCCTGCGTGACAAGTTATTGAATCTCTACAAAATAAAAAGAGAAAACATATAATGCGGGATAAAATAAAACTTAATTCATATGGATAACTGTGCAAATATTAGATTAGCAGACATTCGTTGTAATTTCAAAAGGGCAGTTCAACGCATATGTTCCAGTTAAAGAATTAATATATGCAAAAATGGATAAATAAAAATATATTTTGTTGTAAAATTGACTTATCGATGCGTACTCTTGAATACTTTTTGCGAGACCAAAATCGCCGATTTTAACGATATCTCCGCGGCTGCCAGTCAACATAATATTTTCTGGTTTTAGGTCTCGATGAAGAATTTTATTTGAGTGAATATGATGTACTCCTAAAATAACTTGCGAAAACAAGTATAGTGCATCCTAAGAAAAAAATATTTCTTTGTGATACACTTTTTATATTTTTCACAATTAATACAAAATTAAAGAGGCTCAACATTTTCAAAATTAAAAATTGTTGAAAATCGCGTTTTATTGATTATCGCTATAATTACATCTTTCTATAATCACCTCCTCTTTAAGTGGTATTTTTCGTTTTTCCAACAAATCCTTGAGAGTACATCGAGTTGCATACTCCATAAGAATATAGCTATGATTATTTTTCTTCCATGCTCCGTAATAAAATACTATATTTGGATGTCTCAATTTTTTCAGGCATCGTATCTCGCCTAATGCTCTCTGAATTACGAAATAGATATCGAATTTTGTATTTTATCCAAATAAAGGGATCGATATTGTGTGCAATTATATACCTTGGAGGGTGAATATTTGATCGCATTTAAATCCTGTTTTTTTATAACAAATGGCTTTAAATCTTTCTTTCTTCTCACCAAGTACACAGTTCTAAAAGCATATATCTATTTATTTCGTAAAAAAATATATCGATTCGTTTATATATATATATATTGGAACGCATCTCCCACGATATACAAGAGTTTTATAATAAATACCCAAAGGTTCCCTTGCCGAGTATGCTTTCGAATGTGTAATCGTCGATGTTTGGATCCATTTTCACTTTCACAAAACGAGAAAACTTTAAATCATTTTATTTAAGGCAAAATTATGGAAATATTTCGTCTGTGACACATAGCTCCTTATTGAAGGACTATTCAGTTTGTTGTGATAGACCATATAGACGGAAACATTTCTGTTTATCTCAAACAGAAACATGCGCAAACATAATGACTCTTATTTTAGCAACAAATTTATACTGCTTACACAGTATGTATATATAGAGCACAGCTTTGTTTCTATCGACTTCAGATATATATAATAAATAATAAATACAAACACATTTGAATATATAAATATCAATTTATTCTAATAAAAAATTAAGAGGCTTATGTATGGTGAATTTAGTTTTAGTATAACAAAAACTTTATTCTTCGATTATTCTGTGCAAATTTTAGTTTAAGAAAATTTTATTTCTGATTCATGGAAAATATTTTATGATAGAAATTAATTCAACAAATTTATAAATTTAAATACAAATATTCAAACATTAATATTTAAAATTAAATTTCAAGAGATTTATCATATATTATCTTTTGTATTATGATAATCGTATTAAATTAAAAGGATGGTTGTATTAAATACCAATAAAAATTAGAGAATTATAGTTATATATATATAGATGATATTTTTTTTATTTAATTTTTTTTCTTTTTTTTTTTTTTTTACAAATGCAATGCAGATTTCTCTAAAGCATTTTGTGATCTAAACTATATTAAGGAAAAACATCACAATTATCAAATATATATATATATATTCTGCCTAAACAGATTGCATGTTTTTATAGATGATAAATGTCAAATCCCAAAACACAGAAAAGTATAACATTGATCGTGATAAAATTCGTGGTTATTGTAAAAAAAAAAAGAAAGAAAAAAAAAAACAATAACAATTTCGGAATGATGTAAACTCTTCTGCTCAATTTATAACATGAAAGTATACTGCGCAACGAAAAATAAGTTACGCAGCTACTTTATTAGTGTTAATAAAGCGCCTAACGATTATGACGTATGTACTCTTAGAAAGTGCTATACATATGTTATTGTATAGCCGTGTTGTTGAAAGAGAGACAAAACGCAAAAGAGACAAGATAAAAAGGACAAAACCAAATAGTGATTATTGCAACATTTACTTGAGGATAAGAAAGCAAATCACCTTAAGCCCTAGCACAATACGGGATTAGATGATACTGCAATATATAAATGTAATATATATTTATACTCTGATATTTTTTGAACTTTGTCGTTACCGACTGCATTTCAAGAATTGTTAATAGCACTGTTACTAGATTCTATCGTATTGGCGCCATCGCTACCGGCGGACACGCGTGACTGCTTCAGGCTATCCAAATATTCTTGTTGCGAAGTCGCCAACACTTGTGAAAGTATATGGCTGTCTTCCCAATCTGTCAGACCTAGGAAATTCACGATAGTTACTATGAAATCTTGCATTTTCCTCATATGTTGTTTCTTTTTATATATAGAGATCGATGTATAATTTAAATATTATTACCGAATACTTCAGGAGGAAGGCGATTGAACAATGAAATGTCGGGTGACGCATTCGCCTCTTTGCTACTGCCCGGTACAGGTTCCTGCGACATCATCTTCACTTCAAAATCCGATGGCAAATGCGATATGCTAGAACCTTGAGCCGACTGATGCTGCGGTGATCTTTTACTGTATCGTACCGCGTCGCTGACCTAACAATCATAACAGGAACACCTTTTACGAATAATATCTTAAGCATGAATATCCGTCGCATGAATAGAGTGAAAAACGGACCTTTGGAGAATTACGTAAATTATCTTGGCTAGTTTGTGTCGTGGTCGGAGAAGAGGTATGGCTACGCTGCTGTCCACGACCTCCATGTGAATGAAAGTGTGAATGATTATGTTGCGCGCTCGTAACTGTGCTCGTACTGCTACTACTGGCTGAACGCTTGATTCAAAAGTCGTGACTGAGTCTTTTTGCTCCAATAAAAGAATAACTGGCATGATTTCGACAATTGATTTTTTACTTACTGCTTTACGCATTTCGTTATCGCGCAACCATTGTAAGTAGCTTTCCCTGGCCACTTGTTCTTCGATAGCTTCATTAGTCGCTTCCCAGTCGGTGGCTTTTATTTTATCCTCCAACATTGTCTTTCATACGTGAAATTGAAATTTTAGAATATCTTTTGAATATTTGTAAAGCCAAATTGGATATTGTACAAAAAAATTCAGATTTGTATGTGAACTTATAATGATTACCTGTTCAATTTGTAATTCCTCGCTCTGACGAACTGCGTCCGATATCAGGGCGCGATCAGCAGCACCAGGATTATACGATGGTAAACCAAGCCCAACACCTATAGTGGCCTTGAATGGATCAACTATGCTGTTGTAATGGCTGCCACGTTGATACGACAACCTGATTGGTTCATTGTCACTTTGCACCATAGTATGGAAGATATTGATAGGTTCTATATGAGAAAAAAAATTTGATCAATAACACAATCAAGAGCAAAATAAAAAAATCCTACTATATTAACAAAAAAAAGCGTTACATACCGGTACTGTAACAGTACAATTGTACACTACGATTGTACATTTCTGACATAGCTTGCATTTCTATATGATTTCCATGAACATATTCTTGCCTCTTCCTGTCTACATAGGTGCTGAAATCTTCTGCTACAAAATGCGAGAAGAACTCCTGATTGGAAGACTAAAAGAAGTATATAATTCAGCCAAGCTGCGCATTGATGTAATATTATATATGTTATCTTACTTAGTCTAGTCTACACACACTTACGATATAATCCATACAGTGCTTTCGTACAATTCCATGCATTTCTTGATCTCCATAAACCTGATCCGCTACTGCTCTAAACAAGCAAGCTCCGTCTTCCGCCATCTTCTTTATCATAAGACCCTTTTTCTTAAGACGCTTCTCAAACCACCTATCCCTCTAGATTGTTAAAGATATGTAGAGCGTGATATACATGAGTACAAGATAATACATCATATTCATATAAAATATTGAGTTTAAAATTTAATACTGACTTCCTGCCACTCCACTAATGTAAGATTATTTTCAGTACGTCCCGTATATTCATCACCGCTGTTGTAGCCATTTGCCAGTTCATCCAAATTTGAAGCATCTCCAACAATGCTTACTCTCCCACTTACAGTAGAATCTGTACCTAAATAAATCAAGTTCACTATACAGCGCTCCGCGATTTTTTAATTTTGATAGTTTCGTGGTTTTGCGATAATGAGATTTAGTGGCTTTTGATCGCGATGCAAATATAAAAGAAATGCATTACCTTGCGAACCATTGCAAGAAGCAGCAGGTGGAGTAGCTTGCCTTTCGCGTTCTCTTTCTCTCTCCCTTTCCCTGCCTCTGTCCCTTTCTCGGTCACGTTTTGCACGCGAAGATCTGCCGATACAGCTATTAAAAGATTGATAGACCTCTTTTATTAAATATCTAATAAGCACAAATATCTATTATACAAATATGCGCAACTTCTTTTGTATATCTTACTGTATGTCAATTATACGAGACGCGCGGAAATAGATGTTGCAATATAAGAACGCAATGTAATTTACGCTTTTTATGAAATATATTTTTTTGACCAATCTTTATCTTTCGAACCAAGTTTAAATACCTGTGAGGACTGGCTCTCTGTCTGTGACGTTTACCATGGCTCGGGCCACTTCCATCTTCAAAGTGTTTATCTTCACGACGGTCTACGTTTGCCTGTAAATATGTATAAAAACATTATAAATCGATGAAAAATAAATCTTTAAAAAAAATTTGTGTTTACTGTCAGTAAAAATTTATTGACATTATTATTCGTATGCATTTACTGATATTATTATTGTTATTTTAGGTTCATGTCACTCTGATGTACAAAGAGATGATTTATACCTCCAGACTATCCGAGATAAAGAGAGGAGAGAAGTTGCCTTTGTCATACCTCATACGAGTTGCTGGTCAACACTATGGGACCATTATGGGATCCATGATCAGCTTGAACTCCATGCAGATCGACGGCGAATCCGCTGGCACCGCGAACCTAGTCAGCGAGTTGGTACACAAAACACTTGTCTTTTAAAACCTTGCTTAAGTAGAGAGGGAGAGGGGGTGGGGGGGGGGGAGGGAGAGCGCGAGAGAGAGCACG